GAGGCCGTGCCCGGGGCCGGCCTGGGGGGCGGCCGGGGCCCTACCGGGCGAGATTCCGTTTGGGGTTAATTTACAGAACCCGGCGCGGCTGCCGAGCGCGTTGGCAGCCGGTCCCTCACGGCCGAACGGGACTCAAGGCGCTAACAATTAAATAACGCTTGGTGCATTTACTTAGTTCCCTCTTATAAAGGGAAATGAAAACAGGGAATAGAATTTCCCTGTTAATAGAATGTAATGGCATTTGATCAGCACCTGGCAGGGCGAGCCCGGGATGCCGGAGCGGTGACAGGAAGGACTTGATTAGTTTTTAAACCTTAGTATTCAATTACCGCGACGCTCCCAATCGTTCCGCCAGCAGCGGCGGCGAGCGGGACGGACCTGCCGGGCACGGGCGGCACCTGCGGGCCCCGCTCCGCGCGGCTCTGCTCCCGCGGCGGCCCCACGGCAAAAGCGGGGCCCGGTGTGCCTTTTTTGAGACGCCCATGCTCCGCAAGGGTCGCGGGTCCGAGTAGGCTCCGGCCCCGACGGGGTCCGACGGCCGCGGCGAAGCTGCCGCCCGGAGCTCCCCGGCGCGGGCGCCGACGGAGGCGCACCGCGGTCCCCGGCCGTCGAGAGCGTTTCCCCGGCTCACGGCACCGAGGGACACCGGCCCCGCCTGGCCCGGCGGCCATTAACGCGACCAGTAAACGCCAGCCCCCCGGCGGGACCCCCCATGCCACCCCCGGCCCCGGGCGACCCTAATCGGATTGTCCCCGCTCGGTGCGCGGGCAGCGGAGCCGCCATCAGCCGCCGCTCCCCGGAGCGGAGCTAATGCGATTGAGGCGGCCCCGCAAGCTGGTGCGGGGCCCGCACAGCCCCGCTGGAGAGGCCGCGGGCGCAGCGCCCTCGGGGCCCCGGGGGAGGATAAATAAATAAATAAATAAAGTGCCACCCAGTCCTGGATCAGGGCAGGCTTTGTTAGAGAAAATTGCAGCTCGATCTGCATAATGGGAGCTCGGGCTGCCCAAGGCGATCTTTTTATTGCGTGTGTGTCTGCTGTTATCAATTTTGTGAACGATTTCACAGGGAGCCTGGCAGACTTGAGCTGGAATAATATGCAAAGATGAGCTTTGAATAATGAATGATGTGCTTTTAAACCAATTCCAAAGTGTCTGTGATAGTACAATATGAAAAGGGGTGGTAAGTAATAGTATATTTAAAAGGCACTAGTATGTTTTTATTACTATATTTAAAAAGATATCTATATTATTTTTGTGAAATGGATAATATATCACAGAGTCTTTGATAATCAGCTAAACAATACATTTTTCTTTGGGAAAACTCTCCTGGTTTTACACAGTTAAATATAGAGTATCAGCGTACAGCTCTGTAACGCTCAGCTACCTTATTAAATATTAACTCTATTTTAATATTAGCTTTTAAATTTAATATGTTGACGTTCTGTAGTTTTACTTTAATTATGTTTTATAATTAATAACCCCGGACGTATGGTATCCTTAAATGCGGCTCTCCCGCAGCCGCTCCGTCTCCCTCGCCCCTCTGCGGGCGGGGGGCGCGCAGAGCCCGCGCAGAACGCGCGCAGCCCCTCATAAACCCTCACAACCGCGCAGAGCCCGCGCAGCTCCGCACGGAGCCTCGCACAGTCCCGCATAACTCCGAAAATCCCCGCAGAGCCCCGCACAGCCCCTCACAGCCCCGCGGCTCCTTCCGACCCAAAGTCTGCTTGCGCCCTGCCCGGGCAGCGCTCCTCGGCTCCGTGCGGGCTCCCGTCCCGGCCCCGCCGGCGCGGCCCGTGCTGCGAGCCCGGCGGTGCCAGGGCCCGGCCTGCTGGTGCGGGACTGGCAGTGCCCGCCGGAACCCGGGCCACGCTGCACCCCGCCGGGCAGCCGGGGCCAGCTCAGGGCTGGCTGCACCGGCCACACAGAGGCAGCGGGACCCCCGGGCACGCGCGGAGCACCCGCAGCCGGGCAGCTTCCCGTCACAGGGAGGTAAGAGACTGCACGGCTCTGGCCAGGCCCCAGCCATGGCACAGCAAAGCACGGCATGGCACAGCCTTGGCACGGCATGGCACGGCCTTTGCAGGCAGTGGCACAGAATAGCACAGCCCACGGCCTTTGCCAGGAGCCCAGCCTGGGAGTGCCAGCCATGAGCAGGCAGCTGCGGGTGCCTCTAACCCTCTAACCCTAACCGTGCCTCTTGCACACGGGCAGCAAGCGCTGGACAGCGCCGGGGGACAGTGCCAGACTGCACCGGGGGACAGTGCTGGACAGCACCAGGGGACAGTGCCGGACAGCATCGGCGGGCAGTGTCAGACAGCACCAGGGGACAGTGCTGGACAGCACCAGCGGGAAGCCACCGCAGCCATGCAGGCAGGAGAGGGTTGGGAAGGGAGAGTTCTGGAAGTGTGTAGGAAGGCTGCTGTGGCACTGTCATTCCCTGTGAAATTCTGCTTTCTGAATTTCAGCGATATTGTACAGCTATTAACCGAGATGTGGAGCCAAGTGCATGATGCTGGCAGAGAGGAACACGGTGCAGTCCTGTCATGCTGGGGCACAGCTCCCTGCACCTGTAAGGGACTGTGGCTGAGCCAGCTCTGCCAGGATGCCTCGGCACAGGGACTGACCAGGTCCCCAGAGCACTGCTCCCAGTCACCTGCAAAGGTATGGGGGGACAGAGTTAAGCAGGGAGAAAAGCAACTAAAGCTGTGGAAGAGGAGTGACGACCACCCTGGCCCCACTGGGCAGAAGAGTCCCCTATCCAGTCTGTCACTGGGAGTCACTGGGGACAGAGATGTGGCAGCTGTCTCACTCATGCCTGAAACCCAGAGCTGCTCCCAGGCCTGGCTGCCAGGAGGTGACAAGAAGTGCTGCAGCCTGCCATGGTCACTAGGTTTGGTCACGGTGTGCACAGGCATTCCTCAGCCCTAGGGATGTCCTCAGGATCAAAACAATGAGGGCCCTGGAGGGAGGGTGTCCTTGCAGCACCATGTCCTTGCAGGTGCTTATCCTGCAGGACCGCCACCATATGCCTGACAGTGGCCAATGCCAACGTTCAGCTTTTAAAAAGTGCTTCCTGTAGCATGAGATAATCAAACTATGTGATGAGCACTGCAAATAACCCCCTGCACCAGGAAGCAGCAGCAGATGCTGAGATGTTCCTGCTGTAGTTCCAGAGTTCTTGCTGTATCTCCTGTCCTTGGCAGCACTCTCAGGCTGGGCAAGGACAGTCCTGTTCTCCACAGCCTTTTCTGGATGGATATTGCTGCATAAACCCAACACGGTTTGGAGTGATTAGACAACTCATGTGGAATTCAGCACAGCAGAGGACACACATTGCTTTTCAGCTGTAGCCCTGGAAGCTTCCTGTGCAGCTGGTGGGTGATGCTGGTGCTCATGCTGAAGAGGGACATGTGTGATCTGTGTCCTGGCATGAGCAGGGGAAGGGGAACAGGACAGCCAGGAGCAGCTTATGTGCTGCCTGAACTCTGCCTGTAGCCAGATGTACCCAGATGTGGAGGGCAGTGGCAGGCAAGGCTGAGGTTTGTGCACCAAAGGGGGATGTGGTCCTGACCCTTGTACCTTCTGCAGGGCTCAGTGAGACCCTGTGGGTCCTCCTGGTCAGTGATGAGCCCCCCGGGGTGGGGCCCACTGTGGCCAACAGGCCCCAGGACAGAGCAGAGGCCTGGTTGCCCCATGCCACTGATGGAGCGAGACCCTGGGTGCCAGCCTGTGGCTGTGCTCTCGTGGGGCAGCACTGGGCTCAGGCACTCAGCTCCTGCTGCTCAGCAGAGCTGACAAAAAAACCCTTTTTTTTTTTTTTTTTTTTTTTGTCAGCCCACAAGGGTTAAATCAGCTGCTCTTTTTCTGAGGGAAGAGCTCCTATGCTGCAGAGCCAAAGGTCATTCCCCTCTGCCCCCTCCTCTGGGTTTGGAGGGCTGTGCCCCTCCTGCCTCCCCTCACCCCACGCAGGCAGAGGGGAGGGCAGGGTCGTGGAGCTCTGCCCTCAACAGCTTTTTCCCCATCAGAACAAGGATATTCCCTATGTCCCAAGATGGAGCAGATCAGGACACCTGCCCCATAAGCTGTGCCCAAGGGTCCAGACACAGGCTCCAGTAAAACTCTCTGTCCTCCATGTCCCAGTGGGTGCAAGCAGTTAAGCCCCACTCAGAGCGCCAATGCTAACAGGTTCTAAAGCCTCTGACAAATGAACATTCCTTAGTGGTTCCAATCCCTGTTCCAAAACACATCTTTGTGGGGTTGGTAACCTTAACTGTGATATTTTAAAAGCCAAAACTTTATTTCAGTTCAGAATCCATGCATTGTTCCACAAATGGCTGAGACTAGGTGAGAAGGAGAGGGTTCAAGGGAGGTGCAGGGGAAGGAGCTGCCCCTGAAAGGGCAGAGAGTTCAGAGGGTGATGGGCAGATGGGGCTCCATTTCTTTCTGCCACCTCTAATGAAATCAGGCTGTAGTGAAGCTGACAGGGAACATCCTATTATCGTGGACAAGCCCTGAAAGAGGCAGAGACATCTGGTCTCTGGGAGCAGCAGCGCCAGCCCCAGGTGAGGGGGAAGGCAGGGAGGTACCACGGGTAGGGGATAAGCCTGGGGAAGCAGCCGCTTCCTTCCTTCTTTCATCCTATTTTAAATACCAACACGCAGCTGCTGCCAGGTTTTTATACTAAATATGACATTTGCTGGGCAAATTACATTAGGATGGATGCCACAGGTATCCATTAAGGTTTATTTATTGTGATACCATTTGTATCTCATGCTTATAAATAACTTATGTTATAGCTTTTGTTTGTAGAAATGTAACTTACATATTTTATTATGCTTTCTGTAAACCTCAAAAAGAATTTTGTCAAAGCAGTGCCTCTTAACAGC